ATTGGGGTGCAACGCGCACGATGGAACGATTGCTTTTCGGTGGACGCGCAGTGCGCGAGGTTCACGCGCCAGGCGCCTATCCGATCGTTGCTGCGCCCGCTTATCTTGTTCACTCTGTTTTACGGGCGAGAATATAGGGATTCTCGCGCGTCTCGGGGGGCAACTCTCGCCCGTGAGACAGCCGCGGTTGATGGGTGCCGATGTCAATTTCGGACCCAGTGAGCTCGAGGCGCATGATTACGTCTCGGAGCTGCAGGGGAGCTCGTTGGCGCCTGCTTCCAGCGCCCGCATTCCTGCTGGCGAGTCCACCGCCTTGGATCGCATTGCTTGCTCTGAAGGGCCGGGCAAAGGGGCGCGATCTGGCCTGGCCTTGTTCGGCGCAGAACTTTCTCCCCGCGGACCTGTGGGCGTCGTTTTCTACGAGCGCTTCGCAGCCTTGCAGGCCTTCTTTGTTCCGTCGCCCATCCCATCCCCATTGCGTCCCTGCCTTCGGCACGAGGCTCAAGGGGGGTTGCTGGGATGAGGTGCGGCGCTTGCTGACAGCGCCATCGCGCGCGTCGAGAACGTGGACTTTCCTGGGCGCCGTCGGCGCGCCTGGCCCGCATGGCAAGTTGCGCGCCAATGCGGCTGAGAAAGATGCGGTTCCGAACCCGGGGGGTCAGCCGCCTTGTCTTTGGACCCGCGGCGTTGGGCCGCAGCTTATACTGATATCGATTCTTAGCGAGGGCGGCCGAGCCCGCTGTCCCGAGCACCGTCCAATCAGGTGGCTGGGCAGGCAGCAGGAAGCTCACGCGCGCGGTCGAGGGGCCGACGCGAACTCTGCATCGACGAAGCGTCTCGGGCTTATACTTCAGGGGGCACCTACGAGGATCGCGGGGCGCTGAGGTGGCTGCGAGCCTCTGTTGCAGCGCGTTGCCCGGGAGGTCTCGTGCCCGCGCCTTCGAAACTTGGAGGTCGAGTCCTCCGTTGATGCGCGCGCCCAGGTGCGCGAGGCCGCGAAGGCCGCCTATGCTAAGCACCTGGCCGCGAGTCGCCCGGACTGACCGGCCCGGCCGCGTGCGGGCCTGGGCGGAGGAGCGAGAGGGTTTCTTGCCATCCTTGAAGACTTCTCCCTTGGGCTCCGCCATCCAAGCGCTGCGTCGATTGCAATGCAATGCCCTTTCTGCGGTCTGAAGGCGCGCGTTTCTTAGTATGTTTGCCTTGGGGGGGCGTCGGTTCCTGGCCCGGCGGCGCGCTCGTGGGCCCCCTTTCCGCAGCTTCCCCCATATGAGACTCGAGACATCAGCCGGGCGCGCAAGAAACCGTCGGCTTTCTCCAGTGAGTGCCCCCACTGCCTGCGCGACGCTCTCTTGTCTGACTGCGCTCGTGGCTGTTCGGCTGCCGCCCTCTCAGCGGTCGATGCGGTCGCGCGCCTTGCGCCGCGGATTTCTGCGGCCATCTTGCTTCTCCTGCCGAAGCCGACTGGCGGCGACAGACCGATTTGGGCGTTCTCGTCCGGGCGCAGGGCGCGGTCGCCTTCGGCGCTTCCATGCCCTGCGCCGGGCACAACAGCTCCACGGCGGGCATTTTGCTGCCGGCCAGTTTCGGGGCGCTGCGGATGTGGCGCGGCGTCGAGCCGTCAAGGCTGAAGGAGTTGCCCATTCGAAGTTGGCCTTCCCATGTGATCTCTGGAAGTTCTACGAAAACATATCCCACGTCGAAGTTGAGAGAAAGGCGGGAGAAACATGGGCTTCCGTCGTCTGTGATGGGAGTGCGCATGAATGTCTTTAGGTGTGGGAATTGTCCATGTCTCGGAGGGCTCATCGATAGCCCGTATTTCTGTCAGAGCGGAGTGGTTGCTGGCTGCTCCATGGCCGCGACGCCCATTCGGGCTTGTTTGCCCGACTGTTGCGAAACGATCATTCCCCCGCACCCCGACTTCGCCGCTCACATTCATGATCAATGCTTGTTGTTCTCTTGTTCCCTGTCCATAGTTATTGTGTTGATCGCTCGTGGAGCGTGTGAGCTCCGCAGCGTGGTCGAGTCTTCCCTCGGGTGGAGTGGCGCTCGAGAAGACTGCAGTGGTTGCTTCGTCTAAGGCTATCGGGGACGAGTTCTCCAGACCGCATGCGGCCTCAGGCGGGGAAGTCACTGGCAGCGCGGCCAATGTGGGTGTGGACTGCAGCGGGGCGAGGCGGGGATGTGTGTCCACAGTGACCGGCCGCCAGGGGGATCGATCCTCGGGGACCTCTGCAGGCGGTGGATGTGGGTACATTCGGGGCCCCTGGGGCCCCACATTTTTTTGGTGTTGTGCATATCCATGATGTATAAATATGCATCTATGTCTCTATCTGTATGTATGTATGTATGCATGTGTGTGTGCGTGTGAGTGTGTGTGTGTGTGTGTTTGTAGGTATGTATGTATGTATGTATGTATGCATGCATGCATGCATGTATGTATGTATGTATGTATGTATGTATGTACGGATGCACACACACATATATGTTTGCATGTATGTATGTATGCATGTATGTATGGATTGCTATATGTATGTATGTAGGTGTGTATGTATGTATGTGTGCATGTGTGTATGTACGTATATATGTATGTATGTATGCATATATGTGTATATGTATGTGTGTATGTATGTATGTATGTATGTATGCATGCATGTATGTATGTATGTATGTATGTATGTATGTATGTATATATGTACAACTATACATATATATATATATATGTATTTATGTATTGTTGCATGCATGTATGTATGTATGTATGTATGTATGTATGGATGTATGTATGTATGTGTGTGTGTATGTGTGTATGTGTGTGTATGTATGCATGCATGCGTGTATGTATGTATGCATGCATGTACGTATGCATGCATATATGTATATGTATGTATGTATGCATGCATGCATGCATGCATGCATGTATGCATGTATGTATGTATGTATGTATGTATGAACGGATGTATGCATGTATGTATGCATGCATGCATGCATTCATGTATGTATGTATATGTATGTGTGTATGTGTATGTGTATGTGTATGTGTATGTGTATGTGTATGTATATGTATATGTATGTGTATGTGTATGTGTATGTGTATGTGTATATGTTATGTATGTATGTATGTATGTATGTATATATGTATGTATGTATGTATGTATGTATGTATGTATACATGCATGCATGCATGCATGCATGCATGCAGGTAGGTAGGTAGGTAGGTAGGTAGGTATATCTCCCTATACAGGTGTATTGTACACATGCATATGTACTAACATAGTGAGTACCTCTATGCATAGAAAACGGATCTGGCTTGATTCGGGCCTGGGCGGGCCAGCCTGGGTCTGGAGCGCCCTCGGAGGCCCCTGGAAGGCCCAAGACGGCGCCAGAGTGCCCCAAGAAGGCTTCAAGACGGACCAAGAGGGCTCCAGGACACTTTTCTGTTCAGACTTCCCTGGTCGCCGAGCGAATTGTCCAATGTTCTCCAGATGGCCTCCAGACGGTCCAGGGGGCGTTCCAAGACTTCCCACGACGCCTCCAAGAGCCCTCCCAAGAGAGCTCCGAGAGGTAATTAAGCATCGTCCCATGCCTATCGGAAGACATGTGTTCCCAACCATCTTGCTGTTGGGTCCTAGTTTTGAAGAGAGAGCGCCCCGCGTTCCTCCTTCTCCTCCTCGCCCCTCCTTCTCATTCCTGCCTTCCGCATGTCCGCCAATTCAGCGCACCCAGTACAGCGTTTCGTGGCCTCATAAGGAGCTCCACCGGAAGGCCCCAGTGGCTGTGATCACGTTCGTCCGCGCCACCCAGCGCTTCGTGTTTCCATAGGGAGCTCCACCGACGGCCCCAGTGGCTGTGATCCCATGCGTCCGCGCCACTCAGTACAGCGCTTGGTGGCGTCAAGGGAGCTTCACCGAAGGCCCCAGTGGCTGTGATCACATGCTTCCGCGCCACCCAGTGCAGCGCTTCAGGGACCCTTGGGGAACTCCACCGACTGCCCCACTTGTTGTGATCACATGCGTCCGCGCCACCCAGTACAGCGTTTCGTGGCCGCACAGGGAGCTCCGCATGGTGGCCCCATAGGGGAATTCATCGACGGCCCCAGTGGTTGTGATCACATGCGCCCGTGCCACCCAGTACAGCGTTTCGTGGCCCCGTAAGGGAGCTCCACCGAATGCCCCAGTGGCTGTGATCACATGCGTCCGCGCCACCCAGTACAGCGTTCCGTGGCCCCACAGGGAGCTCCGCCGACGGCCCCACTTGCTGTGATCACATGCGTCCGCGCCACCTAGTAAAACGTTTCGTGGCCCTGTGGGGAGTTCCGCCGAAAACCCCAGTGGCTGCGATCACATGCGTCCGCGCCACCACGTACAGCGTTTCGTGGTCCCATAGGGAGCGCCACCGAAGGCCCCACTGGCTTTGATACCATGCGTCCGCGCCACCCAGTAGAACGAGTCGTGGCCCCGTAAGCTCCACCGAAGGCTCCAGTTGCTGTGATCACATGCGTCCGCACCACCCAGTACAGCTTCTCATGGACGGCCCCATAAGGAACTCCACCGAAGGCTCTTTGCGGCTGTGTCCACATACCCCAACCGCTCATGTTGGCATACCCCCACACGTCTCGAGGCCCGATAAGGGGCGCCCCCTTCTTCGTCCCACGTGCCTTGCGCTATTCACAAGTGTTGGGTACGTCACCAGGAAAGTTTTAGCGTGTGCAGCTTTTCGGATTTTCTGGCGACAACGACGGCCCAAGAGGCGCCCCATATCATCCCTAGACGGCCAACGATGCCCCTAAGAGGGCCCCGAATCGCCCCAAGAGGGGCCCAAGACGGTGCAAAAAAACCAAACACGGCCCAAGAGGGCCTTCAGAGGGCCCCCAGAGGGGTCCAACAGGGGAGCTCGAATTCCGTAGCCACTGTGGCTCAAGGCATTTCGACTCACGCCGCGGTGTCAGAGACGCCATTTTTGCTCACCAGCATTCGTTCGTCTAGCCTTCGCGCGTGCTCGCTATGAACTCCCTCCACGCAGCTGTTGTTCTCGCGCTCCTGTTCGGCATCGTACAGGGTGCCTGTGTGGATATCCGTGGCGTTTACGAGACTGGTGGGGCATGGCTGACGTACCCCACACGGGATGGCAGTGGCCAGGTCACATCGCAATGGGCAAGCCTGTATACAGATGACATGACATGGGACGTATGGGTCCGCGTCCCATCACAAAGTGTAGAATTTCAAACATCCGTCATGTGGACGTACGGTGCGAACCACAACACGAACGCGTACAGTTCGTCGTCTAGGCGCCGTAACATCGGCGTACTGATTTCCAACTCCGGAACCTTGGCAGTTTTGTCGTTCACGGGTCTCCACTATTATGAAGAATACGGCACAAATATTATGGATGATCAGTGGCACCACGTGGCCGTGGTCTGGAAGAGGAGTACGACAACAGGTGTGCTTTACATAGATGGCGTGGCGTCGGCCACGTCTACGTATAACCCAGGGAACGACAATCCTGGCATGGACGGGCAGCTCACGCTCGGAGGCGGCCATTATGGTCGCAGGATATATTGCAGCCTGGCCAATTTCAGAATGTGGGGGAAGGCCCTGGCCGCATCCGAAGTACTGCTCTACAAGGATAGCGCCGACCCCAGCATCGATGGCACTGTTGCCTTTTAGCCGCTGAGCGATTCCTACATCAGCATCGCTCCCACGCCGCAGCCCGCGTTGGAGAAGTCTGACAGCGCGGGTGGATTCGTCAGCGAGGCTACCGATCTGGTGCCCCGTGAGCCCTGCCCGACGCCCAGCCCGACACCGGTACCTACAATTCTTGACTCTTCGCGTATCCCCACCAGCCCATCCAGAAACGACGCCCAGGCGAGTAGAGGTGATCAAGGAAGCGGGGCAGCATACAGAGGAACAAATTGCTGGGGAGGCCGTCGTACCCCAAGGGGGGGGGGATGGAGGAGGAGTCGGAGGCGGAAGAGGAGGAGGATGATGAGGGGGGGGAGGGAGGAATGAGGAGGAGGAGGAATAGGCGGATGATGATGTTGATTTTGATATTGATGATGCTGATGATGACGATGATGGTGGTGGTCTTGATGATGGTGATGGTGGTGGTGATGATGATGATGATGATGATGATGATGGTGATGATGAGGGGGAGGAGGGGGAGGATAAGGGCGATCAGAAGAGTCAAAGGCCTTCTGAATGCCTCGCGGAGTCTCTTGGGATGTCTCTTGGGAGCCTCTTTGAGGTCTCTTGGGGCGTCTTGGGGGCTCTTGGCGGTCCCGGGGGCTTCTTGGACCGTCTTGGGTGCCTCGGGGGGGCCTCTTGAGGGCCTCTTGGGGCCCTCTTGGGGGCATTTTGGGGGTCTCTTGGAGGCCTCTTGGGGCCTCCTGGGTGCCTCTTGGGGCCATCTTGGAGGAGATCGATCAAAGAAGAGGGGTTCCCTAAATCGCGCCCCCCCTCGGGAACCTCCAGAATCGCCTCCTGGACCCCTCTTGGGGCGCTCTTGGAGCGCTCTTGGGCGCTCTTGGGGTCGTCTTGGGGCTCTCTTAGGCCCCTGTTGGGGCTCTCTTGGGCCCTCTTGGAGCCATCTTGAGGCCTCGGATGGCCATCGGAAGCGAAAAAGCGAGAAGGCAAACATCATTGGTTTTCCCAAGGTTTTTGAAGGATTTTGGCCTCTTGGGAGGCCTCCTTGGGAGGCTCCGTGGCCACTTGGAGTCGTCTTGGGGCGGTCTTGGGGCCTCTTGGAGCATCTTGGGAGCCATCTCGAGCCATCTTGGGGTATCTTGGGCCATCTTAGAGCTCATCTTGGGCTCTCTGAGGCCCTCTTGGAACCATCTTGGGCCATCTTGGACGCTCTAACTACCAGCGGCCCCCCCCGTCCAAGTCCAGGGGAGGGGGTTAGGGGAGGGGTAAACCCCTCCCCGAAGGGGAAGAAGGAGGTTGGAAGAGGAAGCTCCTTAAACCACCTACGCCCAGAGGGCTGGTGGGATTCTTCAGGCTTGCGCCACATCCGCCGACCCCTTGATTCACTCGCAGCCTTGGAGGCTTCTTGGGGCAGCCTGGGGTTGTCTGGGGGTATGTTGCTTCGTGGACTCTAGGGCCATCTTGGGGCTTTCTAGGACCTCGCGTGGCGGCTCCCTTTCGGTGACTCGTGGCCTTCATGGACCGTTCGGGGAGCTCCGTTGGGCCTTCCTGGTTCGCTGTGGCGCTCTCTATCCCCCCATGGCGCGTTCGCGCGGGGTCGTCTGGGGCCGAGGGGGGGGGTTAAACATCCGGTTCGGGGTCCCGGGGGGGTGGGATTATGGGGTGGGAAGAATCTCACACGCCTGGAGACCCGCAAGGGGTTTGTTTTACGTGTAGTTCGCGGAGGAAAGGAGAGGCGGGGATGAGGCGAAAGAGCCTTCTTGCATCCCCCCTTTCCTCTCCAGATCAAACGGACGGGGCTTGAAGGGGAGGGGTTTGCGGAGGGGGGGGCATCTGACGCGCCGATGACACTGGAAGGTGTTCGCGGATGTTTTCAAGACGTCGTAGGTTTGGGAATTGGACGTCGGAGGCGTGGGCATGCATACGCCCGCTGCTCGTGATCACCTCCTGGGTAAAATCTGCTGAAAATCGGTCCCTGGTCCGTTCTAGGGTTTTTTTGCGGTCCTCGTGTGGGTTTCTACTGTTTCGTCTCCTTTTGTCTCTGTTTGTCGCTTCTCGGTGTGCCGGATTTGGGTCTGTCCGTGCTCGGTGTCTGTCGTCTCGGTTTGATGTCGGACTCTCAGCTTGGTAGAACGGCACAACGCGGAGCAGGACAGCGCGCATCTGTGGCGCGGCGCTGTCACCTTCAATGTGTTCAGCGTCGCCATTTCCCATTACTCGAATCTACGCGCCTTCAGACATCGCCATGTCTGGCTGTCCTGCACTTCTTCTGGGTTCGTGGGTCCACCAGGTTGACAGTCTTGGGCTCCAGAGGTGGCTTCTGGAGGCTGAACCCCGGATTCGTTCCTGAGCGGTGGGGGCCCGAGAGCGGCCCCTGGAGGCCGAAAACAGCGCGGGACCGGGATGGAGGAGGAATCGGAGGAGGAGGAGGAGGAGGAGGGGGAGGGGGAGGAGGGTCGAGGAAGGGGAGGGGGACGATTGAGGAGGGAGCAGAAAAGAGGAGGAGGAGGAGGAGGAGTAGGAACAGGCGGGTGAGGAGGAGGGTGAACAATAGACTGGGGGCCCATGTGGAGAAACATTCCGCCTCGCTCAAGGGTGCCCTAGGTTTTTGTCGATGGTTCTATGAAGGAAACCGCCGCGTCCCCATGCCGAAAATCGAGGGGCATCCTGGGGTTTCAGGGTTCTGTTTCTTGCGGAAGGTGTCTTGTGATGGAACCCATACTGCATTCAAAAACGCGACGAGAATTCGAGAGCCTGCGCGAGCTCCAGCGAGACATCCACGACTACGAGGACGAACGCTGCCGAAGGTTGACGACGACGACGCCGACGACGGCGCTGACGACGACGATGACGACGATGACGACGACGACGACGACGACGACGACGACGACAACGACGACGACAACGACGACGACGACGACGACGACGACGACGACGACGACGACAACGGCCCCTCCCCCACCGCAGCCACCCCCGGACTTGGTCTACGATTTTTTTTTGGGTCGATTTTGTTTTTCCGTTGCGTTCGGTCCCCGGCGGTGGTTTTCCAAACCTGGGGCTTTTACACAGAGACCCCGGGTGCAAAAGTGCTCCGGACGGACCCCGGGAAGGGTTCGAGAACCGATTTTGAGTAGAGTTTCCTTCCCCGCCGCAGCCGCTTTGGGTCGGAGTGCCCACAGCAGCCCGCAGGCCTTGGGAGGTCAGTAACTGAGGGTTCATTAACGCGGGGGGGGCGATCGAGACTGCAGGAAAGGGTGGGCAGTCAAAAGGGCTTCGTTGCGCAGGGTCAAGGGGGCCATTCAGGGACCATTTTCTGCCGTGTCGATCGCTCGGCCCGCTTGATCCTACCCAGACATCCGACGCCGCAATGTTTTTCGGCGAGGTCGCCCCCAGAGGTTTGGGCCCTTCCTTTATGGGCGATCTTTCATCCCAGATTGTTTTTTCACGGTCCCGGGCTCGCCGAGGGTTTCCAGAGCTTGAGAGTTGCAAACAACCGCCCGCCGTTTTTTTTTTTTTTTTTTTTTTTTTTTTTGTTTTTGTTTTTTTTTGTTTGTTTGGGGGTGGGCGACGCCGGAATGGGTACCCGGAAACCCGCCGAGTTGTTTTTTTCGAATCCGCGGCTTAAGAGGTTCTGCTGACCCTTTCCCGATGGGTAGTTTCTCGACCGGGGTTCCGTTTTTGGTCGCGCAAGGGCCTGAGAATGGGCCTGGAAGGCCGACGTCGAGGAGAAACCGCCAGGACTGAACAAATCATGCTGCGCGGCTGCGTAATTCCGCTCAAAACAGGTCCCCGGGTGTTTCCTGGGGTTTCAACCCATCAGTTTCTCAAGCTGCGTCCAGCCGCGGCGACGAGGAGGGCCCCCGAAGGCCAGAAAGTCTCGAACCTCGATCCTCGCGGTTTCGATCTGCAGGATGTCTGGGCAATCGCGTTCCCGACCGGCCGAGAGCCGTTCGCCGGGCGAGATGCTGGCGGGACTGAAGGCGCAGTTGAGGGCATGACAGAGTTGACGGAGTGCAACCGCGCCAAGGACCAGGACGATTGGTTCCTTGGAGTGCAGGGCGAGTTTCGCCGAGGCGACCTGTCTGAACGCACGCGCAACTTTTTGCATGGCAGACGGACGGATGTGCCGGGATCGCGGGTGAACGGCGCACCGCTGTGCGGGAGCCCGCGTTGCATCGATGAAAAAGAGGCCATTGCGCAGAACAGCGAACTAGAATGTGAGGCGTGTAAAGTTGAAAGGCGGAAGAGGAAGCCCGTCGCGACGCCGCCCGAAGACGCGCGGTTTCGGGGGGAAAAATTCCTTGGCGCTGTCGCTATTTATGCTAATCAAGACATCCGTTGCCACATCGGGAAACAGAGAGCTGTGCAGTGGGCCAAGGAGCGAGGATAACAACTGCTCTGGGTCGCGGCCAGGGCCCCCCCCCTGCCACGGGGGGGAACAGAGGCGACCGTGCACGGTGGAGGATAAGATACGTTGGTTCGGGTACCACGAGAAGGAGTGCGCTAGCTTGCCTGGGTGGCTGCCGCTGGCCAAAGGGATGCCCGTGGCTTTCAGGAACCACTTGGATCGGTCGAAGAAACAGCTTCTGCGGGGGCGCACGGCCACGATCCATGGATGGGTGCTGCGCGAGAACGAGGTCGCGGGAGATGAAGACGAGGACGTGTTGTTGCATCTGCCGCGAGTGATTGCGTTGGACTTCCATACGAAGGAGTGGCACCTGCCCGGGCGGGAGCCGGGGCCGTATCCGATCTTCCCATCGAAAGGGCGGCGATCGGAAGCGAAAAGGCGAGAAAACCCACAACATTGATTTGTTCTGAGGTTTTGGAAGGGTTTTGGCCTCTTCGGGGCCTCCAGGGGGAGCTCTTCGGCCACTTGGAGCCGTCTTGAAGCGGTCTTGAGGCCTCTTGGAGCGTGGTGAGAGCCATCTTGAGATGCCATCTTTGGCTCTCCCAGGTGCTCTTGGAGTCATCTGAAGCACTGCCCTGTCCCCAGGGGGCCCAAATGTGGCCACAACCTCAGTAAA